ATTACTCTATGGGTTACTACTCTATGTCGTGTATAGCGAAGCTGCCCACTCTACTATCCAGAAGCTGCAAGTTGCTCAAAGTTAGGCTCTCTGAAGACTCTAGACTCAAAGTGTCTTGGTACATCCGCACAAATGACATGCTAAGAGACGTTAGAATAGACCCAGTAAACAAATACATAAGGGACAAAACCCTGAAAATATTCGCGAAAACCGCCAGGCTGCCCTACTTACCATTATCTAATCTCAGAATAATCTTTAGCCGGACAGGACGGTACGCAGATTTTAGATGAGTCATGGAATAATCACGAAACTATTAAAGAGTAAAAGTGCCCAGATGCACTAACTCGGACTCAACATGATGAATATGTAATGTATATTGTTGAATAAAAACAATAAATAAATGAAATTCTGATTATATTCTTGCCAAGGGTGATATTTTTATCCTATCTATTTCTGCTGATTCCAAATCAATATAAGGAATTATTTGTGTAACTTATTTATAAACTTGATTACGAATAAGCGGTCTAATCTCTAATAATAATAGGAATAATAATCATACGAAACAAAATCTAATGCTTGCCAACCCTATGTGTGTGCATAGGTGAATTCGTTCCTGCTGTAGCAACCCTGCTAATCGAAGGTGATTCTTTCGCTATTTTTGAGCATTTTGTTTATATATAAGTTCTTTTAGGAACTCTAAATTTATGGTTTAACTAGTATGCCTGACTAATCTTTTTAAATAATCTAGTAAACCAAAAAAAAAAAAGAATAAATAATCACAATTGTATGTTTTTTTGTCGTCAAAACAACATATTTTTTTAAATTTATGCAATGCTTATATCATATAACCAAAGTTGAATAATAAACTGATTAACTAATTAAAAATTGAATCATAACTGATTTTTAACTGTTAGATACAACAATGTATGACAACAGGAGTGACAATAGTCACTCCATATACCCCATTATCCTTTTAATATACTAAGAGCTCAAACATTATAATTGTATATATTGTATAATTAATTAATAATTAATTAATAAGTTTAATTTTTTTAATTAATAATTAATTAATTAATTAATTGTATATATTTATAATTTTATGATAAACTATTATTCCCATTCTAATCACATATTTACTCGTGAAGTATATGCAGATTTATATTTGTTATATATTGATACACATAAATAAATTGGTTCAAATCTAATATGAATTATAAATAATTAAAAATAGAACAGTTTTCAAATTACCTATATATTGGCTTTTTTGGATTTCCATACTCATCTTCACTATCATCATCTTCACACTGAATTTTGATAACTTTTTTCTCGACTATACTCGGTGTGTTTGATCCTGAGGCATCATCGTGAGCCTAAAAATATATAATAATACAAAATGGATAATTGAATTATTACATAAAAAAATTTAACTTTATTTTATGTATATTTATACATATACATATTTTATAAAGACTTATTAAAAGGGAGTTTTTGAAAATGCTGAATACTCTATGATACTATGATGAATACCCATTGGTTTCGTATCCAGTAAATTATATTTTTTAAAAATTAAGAATTAAGAATTAATTAAATTTAATTTAAAAAATTAAAAAGGAGTTTTATAAATTTCTATTTAAAAATTCATTTTCTATTTATATTTAATTTTAAAATATAATAAAAAATATAAAACTATATTATGCAACAGTGGGAATGGTTTCAAAATGTATGTAATTCCATTAAAGAATTAATGTGAATAAATCAATTAATAAAAAATAACATTAATATGCAAAATATTTAACAATTTAAATTTTTATTTAAAATTTTATTTGAAAACAGTTTTTCCATTATTTTCCCATTAAGTTGGGTGTGTTTATTCAAGGTGGGAATTTTGTTTAATGGTTCAATGTATTTATTATTATAAAATGGATTTTTTTTTAATATTTCAATGAGTTAACGTTAATTCAGGGCAGCTAAGCTCAAATTTCCAATTCATTTTTCTCTTAGACATCTAGATTACTAACGATAACGGGTAAAAATAAAAAAATGAGGTTTTAAAGAGTTTATAAAAATTTTTATTTTAAGGATAGTGTCTTCATAAAGGCAAAGATAATAACCTATGAATAATCTAATGAATTTTTTTAAATCTCGTAAGTCATAATATAAAAAAACTTTAACCCTTTATTGTCAAATACTCAGATGACTAGGCGAAAATCAGGTTCTAAATTTAAATGAAGAGACCCAAATTAATGTAAATTCATTGAGAAATTTAAAAAAACTCGCTTGTTGCACAATGTTATTAAATCACACATAAAAATATAAAACAATATATATAACAACAATATATATAATAACAATATATATAATATCTCAGCTTCATAACTATAAAAATTACAATAAATAAATTTGCGGTTTTCCACTTAATAAATAATTAACGCTAAAAATTAACCAATAAAATTAAACGTTGAGTTGTAATTGTTTTGCTTTAAAGCAAAAGGCGGAGTTTAAGTTTAACTTTAAAAAACCAGTTCTCCAAAGCTAACCATCGACTAAAGTCAAAATAAAAGATTAAATATTAATATAAATAATTGTGTTTAATTCAATCGAGAAATTAGAAAAAAAACATAAAATAAGTAAAACAGATAATCGCCATATATGTAAATGTAAAAAAAAAAATTGATCTTAAAAGGAATGAAAAAAAAAAATTAGATAATATTCTTCATGGGACATCTCATAGTACTGAATCATTTGAACGTGATTTTCTATTTATTTTGAGCCTATAGCTGGTAATATGTCGCCCATAATTTGACGGTTAGTCATTTTCAAATTGTTTTGATCTGATGTTTTTGATCTGATATGATCATTTTTAAAAGCAATTAAAAAAAGTATAGTGGGGACAAATCATATGATCTTGGTGATAAATCCACATCAAGAAAAAATGGAAATTTGCAGGAAATTTTAAAGCATAAATCTATTACATTCTTTCTATATTATCTTCTCAACACCCTGTTATTGTGCAGTGATAAGATAATTTGATATTTGATATAATGAAGTTATAAAAAAATATTGAAATGAGACGTACACAACTAATAAAATTTATTGCTAGAAATTTTACAATATAAGTAATTAATTTTTATTAGTTTTAAAATACAGTAAAAATGATCAAATAATTTTAACTTACAGCTTATAGTATATAAATATATATACCAAAATAATTATAAATAATAAAAATAAAATACTAAAATAAATACTAAATATATGTCGAGTAAGGTTATTCAGATATTTTTAGTCCAGTGTACAATCCGGTGTACAAATAAGTGTTATGTTAAACTTCTAGATGCACTTTTTTAATTTTTTGTCAATAAATTTGTAAAACTGAACAATAATATTAAATGCATATATATCTTTTCGATTTTTGTTGAACATAAATAAGACAATTACAAGAAAAGTATTGACCGATATTTTTATTTATTTAATTTTAAATTTTATTTATATTTATATTTATTTTTGTATTATTTTTTATATTTATTTATTTATTATTCTTTAATTTTTATCATTATCGGTTATTATAACGAGTAATAAATTTATTAGACCCAGATTAAGCATTGACCGATATTTTTATTTATTTAATTTTAAATTTAATTTATATTTATATTTATTTTTGTATTATTTTTTATATTTATTTATTTATTATTCTTTAATTTTTATCATTATCGGTTATTATATCGAGTAATAAAATTATTAGACCCCGGTTAAGTGGTAAATTGGTGAAGGGATAAAATTAAATACACATAAATTAAATATAAATTGATAGAGATATTCAGACGTAACTCGATAATCGTTATAGTAATCAAATGTCAAAGCAGCTGATTTTAATTTTAATTGATTTGTCTTACATAAATTTAAAAAAAATAAAAAAAAGTAAATTAAAAAATAAATAAAACTTATTTTATTGATTTATTTTTTCTACAAACATATCTTTATGTTTTTGTTAACTTTGTGTAACTTTACAACAAGAAGAATAATTTGATGTATTGCCAAATACCAAAAATTATTAAACTTGATGTCCCAGTATCTCGTTAACTCGATAACATTGGAAATTTATAACCACATACATACATGCAACTTTTTTACTTTATTCACGTCGAAATACCCCTAAAATATTTTTCTATCTACTCTTATGTATACTATCACTCGCATTTATAATAGGGTTGCTCTCTTTTCATATAAAACACGAATATATAATTATATATAATTTTATAAGTCTTGATTAATTTAAAAAAAAATATTTTCATTATTATTAATTGTATTAATTATTTATATTAATATCACCTTTCACCTTATCGGCTTTGTCCAAAATGCTGTTCACACTTTCACTGCTTTCACACGGCGCTACTAAATGTTTGTACCTGAAATCAAACTCCTGAGGACCATCATGTGAAATGCTATTACTTATGTTGGTGGAACTTGTGCAATCATCACCAACAGATTCAATGACCGATACATTGACATCGAACTGACCTTTTTCAGTCGTACCACTCATTTCAAATAATTTATTTCTATTCTATTTTCTATTTTGATAATATAATCTAATCATCGCAATGTTTTCACTTTAATTATATATTTTTATATATATTTAATATTTCCATATTGCTATTAGTTTTTTATTGAAACCGATTTCAGATTATTTGAACAACAGAACTCGAATAAGGCCGCCAATGAACTGAAGATCGGCTCGCTTCGAAGTAGTCGCTGTAATCTTCGTCTAAGTTTCCAGCGCTACCAACAAAGTGATTTTTTTCCTATTTATTTTTTTTTAAATGAGTTTCCATATATATGTACATATATATATACATATTATATATATTGTGTTTTAAAAGATAGGCATCTCAGTGCTTTTAATTAATAATTGCTCCAAGTGAACTTTTTATATTTAATTATAGTGTTCGTGTGCTAATTTTTAATCAAGCATTTTGCTAAATTAATTGTGGGTATTACAAAAACAGAAAACAAAAAAATTACTTAACAATTGTCGGTTGCATGTGTATATTCACTGTATATTAACTGTATAATCAGTTTATCGATATTGCATATCGCTAAGTTTAAATGCTTTTGGTTTTTCGCGATATATTTTCCACAAATAATACCTTATAAATGGAGTTCCATATTAAAAGAGTTTTGGAAAATTTGTTAGGAAATACCCTACTTTTTAGTAAGATATTCTTTTGCCATACTATGGAGACTGGGATTTCAAAATCAGTTGATATCATTTGCCGCTGTAGACTTTTATGCTTCTGAGTAGTCAAGAAGTTATGCAGTATTAATATTATTAGGTAGTTATATATAATTTATTATCTCCTGTTTTTGAGCACATAACTGCTCGTCTAACCAAAAACAAATAGTAGTTTATGGATCCATGAAATTTTGTTTTATATTTATATCAAAAGTCTAATATTATCGAAATATATCGTGTACAGAAGAAATCTTGATAATTTACAAGGAAATGAATTAATAACATATTATTTTATTTAATTATTAATTTTACTTATGATTTGTTGTAAGAACTTATTATATATAATATATAGTAATTATCAGTTTGATAGCCAACGAGAATAAGGGGATATATCCACCCTTGATAAAATGAACTGAAGATTAACTGAGTATTTTCTTCGTTGGCACAGTCCTAAATACGAAATTTCGAACAAATTCTGCAACTATTGTGTAAATCAATAGTGTCAAAAAATATGTTACTTAGGCCTGTTATAAGATTTTCAAGGATAAGTATGAAAGATTAAATATATTTTTAATCATAACTGTCAATATATAACTACAAATTTAATCCTTTGTTTAACATCAAGTTCTATTTCATTATAATATATAAATTTTAAATAATATATAAAATGTAACTTGAAATCAACCACATTAACCAATCAACATATCTTATTTAAAATTTTATTAGTAACTTTATGCGAGACTGAGCTACCTAAATACTACATCCCCTAATATGGTTCGATCTTTTTCTGCGAAGTCATCAATTTAATCTATCTGCGATAGGTTTTCCTTCTAAAGATGTTCTCTGTCATTTGCTAAAAGTTGATTGGCACCATCTATGGCACAGCTAGTGAGCTAGTTCCTGTCGCCATGTGTTCTGTCATTTGCTAAAAATTAATTGACATCATCTATGGCACAGCTAGTGAAATTAACTTTGGTCGCCATTTCAACAACTGCTGAGGTAGCTGAGGGTCATACCATATAATTGAAATAGTTCCTGTCGCCATGTGTTCTGTCATTTGCTAAAAATTAATTGACATCATCTATGGCACAGCTAGTGAAATTAACTTTGGTCGCCATTTCAACAACTGCTGAGGTAGCTGAGGGTCATACCATATAATTGAGGTGATGCATTAATAATTGATTTTTATTATGTCATCTTTAATGTTATAGGTTTTCTTCTAGACACTTTTTGCCATATTTAATTATCCGTTGATCGTATAAGAATACATAAGATTGTTTGCAGATAATGTGCTTTAAAAATGAATATAACACCTTGATTTTTGCCATAGTATTTTTGCAGAGAATCTCCAATTAAAATCGATTTGTCTAAAATAAGCAGAACATATTATTTTTTCCCAATACGTTTACTACTCTAGACTGAAATATTTTTTATTTGAATAGTAGTTTACTCTTTAAATAAATATTAGTCATTCAAATTTTTTTTTGCTAGACAGCCAGATAACACCCAACTTTCCTTTATTCATATTTTTTGAAATTTATTAGGTACCAATTAATAAATACACAATAGTTTTTGTTTGTAGGCCATTTTGTAGACGTTCGTTTTAACGTTCCATTAATGCCTCATATTCCATTGCCTTTTGATATGTCCACCCTATATGGTATACGTTTTTCAACACAACCTGATCTCAACAAAATTGAAAATTTTTTTGTGTTTTTAGCATATCTACGTTTTTCAGGTATCTATCTTGAAAAATCACTTGAAACTTAATATGGGTAGATATTTTGCTGATAGTTTTGCTGATAACAGAACTGTACACTTCAACGGATATAACATATTTCATATCCATTTCATATAAATCAGTCTCCAAAATACTTAATTTTGCTCTGCTTGAGGAACTCATGAGCAAATCATATTTACATTAAAAAATGTGCTTCTTATTTTGCTTGGCCATTAAAAGAAGTCTTTCTGACTACTAAACAAAAATAGTCGAAAATTACGTTTCAGTCCTTAAACGTGCCTCGCTCCAATAATTCTAAATTGATAGTACATAAAAAACTTTAATTTTTTACTGTATATCGGAATGTCTACGAGATATTGATAGAGACAATGTATTGATCTGAAATATATATCCAGATTATATTATATTATATCAAGGTATAAAGAGAAATTAACGAGTCTATAAATTGAAAATATTAACAAATAGAAATAATTAAAGTAGAATAAATGTTGTGCATATGTGGAGAGAATAAATAAATATTGCATAATTTGTCGAGGACGTAGTGTGCTCTAATAGACGATATAGATAATAGAGATATTATACCTATGATAAGAACGCGTTTGTTCTTAGTAAATTCCAAGTGGTTATATCAAGCTTCCAACACGCACATGCACGCGTTGGATGATATATTTTGTATTTTATTAATTGTAAAACTGCCGAGCACTTAAACTCGTAGTTTGCCTCAATAATCAAATTTGAAATAAAAAAAACAACTTCAAATATTTTATCTGTATTTTATGTGTCTTTATTTATTTTCAGGTATTTTGGAAATTTATTGTTAAATGTGCTATTTTGAAATGTTACTCGTATCACTGTTCAACCAAAAAGAGGAAGTTTGTTAGCTTAAAACCAACACAGAAGCTGCTCTCATGTCCCTAATCTAGCTTAAAGCTTACTTCATTCTCCTTTTGTTGCCAAACAGCTGATTACTAGTGTTTGACAACGTTAAGTAGATGAAGTCTTTTATGTAGATATTACAACCAAGATTTAGTTTAAGGAGATTTAACAACCTATATGTTACTAATAACCACGTACATAAGGATAATATGTTTAAAAGTTATGTATAGTAGGTGTGGAATGTATGTCCTTGGTCAAAGAAATAATAAAATTCATATGGAGAGAGTGATCTATTTTCAGGCATAGGGCGTCAAACCTCATCTGAAAAAATATTTTATCATACAAACTGAAATATGGTATCTCAAAAATTACTTGCTTCAATCCTTAAATACGCTGGATATAAATTTCATATCACTTAAAAGTGTATTTATTTATTGATTATAGATATTATATTTTTGTATATTATTTTGGAATTTTGTTTTTTTTTTATTTGATTTGCTAGTTTTTATTAATGATAAACTGAGTTATACTTTGTATTCATCACTTTTTTTAATCTTATTTTATTTATGTATTCTCAGATTTTTGTTCATTTATGTTCTCTCCTGTAG